GCTAAGTCTAATCAGACTTTACGTTGCAACGTCAGAGTATAACTACAATTGTTTAGCTAGTCTAATCAGACTTTACGTTGCAACGTCAGAGTATAACTACAATTGTCTAGCTAGTCTAATCAGACTTTACGTTGCAACGTCAGAGTAAGTTAAGACATAGAAAGTATTCAAAGTACGAAGTATTAGAAGGAAAATCATTTCTTATTTTACCATCTTAAACTTAAGGTAATGTCATATAACACTTTTTCAGATACTTACGAATTTCATGCTTGATTTGAAAGTGCTTTCCTGATACCTTTACGAAACGGCTAGGGAGAGTGACATTTCTGGGTAACTCCTCCATATTTATAGTCTGCTCGAAAACGTAACTGATACTAAGCTCTGCCATGTCATCTCCGCACGTGACCTTTTGCGACTTCTTGTCACTAGCTAGGTGCGGTTTTGCGTCCTTGATAACTGGCCAATAAAAGACCAGAGGCGGAGTTTTTAAATTTGATAACCACTTTGATGCTTAGCCGGCCTTGAGGTGTAATCGACTTTGCAAAAATTATATATTTTTTGTTTTTCCTTTTCTGAAATATTACATTATTCTCTCTTCTGACAATGATGACTAGTAACGTGTTAGAAAAGATCGCTAAAATTAAGTTTGATTTTGTTATTTCTTTCTACATCTCGATGTAATTACAAACAAAACAAAAACACACGTAACAAAATACTTTTTGATCAGCACGAGATCATTTAATTCTTTTACATTCACGAGATCATCCGATTTTCTTTTAATTCGCTTCTTTGAAATCTAGGAATGTCACAAAAATACTTTAAAAATTCCCTTGGTTATATTTTGATAATTATATTTCAACTTTTGATTCCATTATCCACGTGCAGATTCACGAAAATAAGAACTACAGGAAAATCAGTCCCTCTGTGGGATAGCGGTAAGCTTACGGACTTGCAACGCTAAAATCCGCTGTTCGATTTCCCGCGGTCGACACAGAAGATAGCCCAACATGGTTTCTGTATAAAACAAAGCAAACAAACAATATAATTGACAGTAGCAGCCATCAGAGGGAATTCTAACCGAGAGTTTGTCTGTCACTACACAGATATTGCGTTTTGAGTATTTATTTCATCTTGTTGTAATTTTAGAAGCTTTTAAGTCTTTTACAGAAACACTTCTTTTTAACGAAACCCGGTTTCTAGCGTTGTAAGTCCGCAGACATACCGCTGTGCTACTGGGGGCTTAATGTTTATTAATCATATATTTTAATAATTAATTTAGCCCTGATAGACTAGAGGAAAGGCAGCTAGTCAACATCACCCACTGCCAACTCTTGGGCTACTCTTTTACCAACGAATAGTGGGATTGACTGTCACATTATAACGCCCCCACGGCTGAAAGGGCGAGCGTGTTCGGTAGGACGGGGATTCGAACCCGCGAATAAGATTGCGAGTCGAGCTCCTGGCCATGCCGGGCCTGTAGATGCATGTATATTAATAATTAAATTATTTTTTTTTGTTCTTGTACATTTTAAATTGTTAATTCTATTTTAACAACATAAAACTTGCTTGAAAAGAATTATTTATTCATAAGAAGAAGTACAAATGTTGCAAAGATTAACAGAATTAGAAGCACAAATTAAGTAACGAAAAGCAAACACGAATTTATAAAATATAAAGCTGATTGCCCCGACTAGTTTCAACGAACCACGTACGTCATTTTCAAGGGTTTACTGTGTGTGTGTGTACAGCGACATCTTGCGAGTGTTGTTTTCTTGTTGAAAAATGTTTTCCATAATGGATTCAGTTGAAAGCCCATATCATTGTTTATGAGTTTGTCCGCATTCTTGGGTGTTTCAATAGCTTCTCTAATATTGTTTTGGTGAAAATAGTTAGATACTGCATTGAGTTTCGTTTCTGTGAATTTGATTATGTGATCATTTTGGTATACGTGAACGACGGCTGATTGTTTCTCTTTCCAAACGGCATCAGTGATCTTCATGTTCTTTTATTCTTACGTTCAACCACCGTTTAGTTTGACCTATGTTTGTTTGTTTGTTTTGAATTTTGCGCAAAGCTACACGAGGGCTATCTGCGCT